TTGAGACAGAGTCTCACTCTGTTGCCCTGGCTAGAGTGAGTGCCGTGGCGTCAGCCTAGCTCACAGCAACCTCACACTCCTGGGCTCAAGTGATCCTTCTGTCTCAGCCTCCCGAGTAGCTGGGACTACAGGCATGCGCCACCACGCCCAGCTAATTTCTGATTAATTTCTTTCTAATTTTAGTAGAGACGGGGTCTCGCTCTTGCTCAGGCTGGTTTCGAACTCCTGAGCTCAAATGATCCGCCCGCCTCGGCCTCCCAGAGTGCTAGGATTACAGGCGTGAGCCACCACGCCCAGCTGATGACGATGTTTAGGCTTAACCTGCTCCCTATTAGGACAAGGTCAGGAAGCAGAAGGTGGGTGAATTAGGAAGGACCAAGATACATACTGCTCTCCGGATTCCTAATGCTTGGTCTTAGATATCTTGTGGCTATAAAAATACGGAACAAATGGGTTTTGAGGTAAGATGTTTGTAAAACTGAGAGGCTCTGATTAACTGCAATGCTGACAAAGCAAAGGTGATACCAACCAAACTCTATGATGAACACCTGGTAACACATCTTTCTCTATCCCATAGCCTCACAGCTGCCCTCGGCATACATCACTAGCCAACCAGCTTCATCAGTAGCTGGAGCTTAGAAAATAAATGCACAGTTTAGTGTATTTCTCTGATGCAGGCGACAATGACCTGAATTCCAGCAGCTCAAAGCAAATTTGAGGACCGTGGCAAACTATGTGCCTTTTCTCCTAAGGCCCTCCTATTGGTCATCACAACAGTTAACCAATCCATTAAGGATAGAACTTGAAGACTCTTACTCAGAGCCCAAGAATTCTGCCTCTCTGAATGTAAATAGAGAAACGGAGGATAAGTAGTAAACTAAGCTCCATTCCTTTTCCGTAGTTCCCTAGGTTCTCAAGATTTTGATTCGGCTTCCTTTTGGGGAGGATGTGTGGTGCTACAGTCTTCCTGATTAATCAGGTGGACTGTCAGGACAGAGACGTCTCTTCTCTGCTTTAGGGTAGGATGATGGCAGAGTAAAGATGTCAATGTGCCATGTAGATTTAAAGCAGTTTAAAGTCCCTAAGGTATAGTTTAGAGAGCTTGATAACCAATCAGTACAACTGAAAGGAGAAGTGGGCAAGAGTAACAAAGGGTATCTGTAGGGGAGGGTTTGTGCAAGTGAATGAAGGGTAATGATACATTTCTCCTACCAGAGTGAAAATATTTATTCTTCCATTATAAATGCAGTAAGTACTAATTAAAGACAGTTGAGAAAATGAAAAATGAGAACATGAAAAAAACTAAAAGAATATTTAAAAATCCAGAGTTTCATCACCCAAACACAACCGTGTTACCATTTTGGCAGACTTCCTTCCAACCCTGTATTAACAGCTGTGTGTTACTCAAGCTTGGTGCTCCTTTACAAAATGGCTGCATAACATCCTAATATAAAGATTCACCATAATTTACTTAAACTCTAGATTTGGATTTTTAGGTTGTTTCTAATTTTTCACTTTTACAAACAACTCTGGGCACTTAAACTTGCTTCTTTTGGTGAATTTGTATTTAGAATTGTTGCCTTAGGAAGTTTTCTCAAGGTGGAATTCTCAGAGTCAACCACTGAACATTTGTTAAGTCCTTTATTCATTCAGCGTTTACTGAGTGTTTATGTAACGCCTGGCAAATGTATTCAGATCAAGAACAAAAGATGGCCGGGCATGGTGGCTCACACCTGTAATCCTAGCACTTTGGGAGGTTGAGGCAGGAGGATCTCTTAAAGCCAGGTGTTTGAGACCAGCCTGAGCAAGAAGATTCCCACCCTACAAAAAATAGAAAAATTAGCTGGGCATGGAGGTGCACACCTGTAGTCCCAGGAGCTCAGAAAGCTGAGGCAGGAGGATCTCTTTGGCCCAGGAATTTGAGGTTGCAGTGAGCTATGATGATGCCACTGCGCTCTAGCCCCAGGTGACAGACCATGTCTTTAAAAAAAAAAAAAAAAAGGAATAAAAGCAAGATGTAGTCTTGGTCGCTGTCCTCAAGGAGTTCACAGTCAGAAAAAGCCTAGTGCCAAATTCCTTTTCTATAGGGTAATCCCACTCATGGTGTAGTCCATGTTTTGTAATATCAATGCTCTTAGGATTCAAACAAATCAATCAACCAAATAAAAACTGCGCTTAATTAGTAGGTAAAAAATGAAATCTTGGTTTAATTAGAATTAATGTTAACTTATTAATTGTACCTCCTCTTTTATGAATTACTTTATGTTTTTGCTCATATGTCACTGGGATGTTGGTATATTTCTCATTGATTTGCATGCTTCCTTTACAGAGCAAAGACATGAGCCCACCATCAGTATGCACTGCCACATTTTTTCCTAGTTTATCATTTATTTTTTCCACACTTACAATGACTTTCGCTAAATGGTACTTTGGGGCTATGCCATTTGGTTCATATTGAGAGATGTTACAAGAAACTACTCAATGAAATCAGTTGCATTATTTACTGAAACGATATTTTTTTGAAAATAATGTTGGTTACATTAGTTTCCTCTTTATAAGAACCTACTGAAGAAGTTTCTTTCTGATATTACTACCAGGAATAATTTTGCTTCTTCTGAGTACTGACTTTGTATGTTATGAACACAGTGAATCATGCAACTGATCATGTCGTCTATACACCAATTCCTAGAAAGTGTAAAGTCAGTGGTATAGACTACCACTAACAAATGCAAGCACTTTTAAAAGCACACATTTTTAAACACTTAATTTCATTCCTGGATTTATATCTTCCCTGCTTTCATTTTCCCTTGGTTTCATTTTCCTTATCCATTTAAAAACTTTAAACCACCTATTAAAATTACAAAATACAAAAAATACATGGTATCTTATTTTAAAAAAAATTGGAAGGTTCAAAAAAGTCTAAAACAAAAAGTAAAAAGTCTCCCTAAACTGCATTAGAACACAATAAAGAATACAGTCTGCTTTTAAGGAGTTGATAAACCAGTGGGCAAGAGATAAGTAAAAACACAATTATCAACAAGCGTGGTAAGTGCTATGACAAATGAAGAGAGAAACGAGCTATGGACACACATAGGAAGGGCATCTAATTTGACCCAAAGGGCTCTTAGCATGACTTTCTGGAGAAAATGATACAGAATCCAGAGGCAAAAGCAGCCTAACAGGAAAGAGAAAAGGGCAGTCCAAATGATGAAAAAGACCTACACTGGGCTAAGGAGTTTGAACTTGATCCTGAAGACCATGGAGAGCCCCCTACAGGACTTTAAATGGGATTTACATGACATGATCAGATTTGCATCTTATAACAGTCTGGCAGTGGTGTGCAAAACAGATTGCTAGGGGATGAAAAACGGAACCAGTAACCCTAGCTATGAGTCAGAAGTTCAGAAAGTGATAAGAGCTTGAATGATTTAGTAGATTAAAAAATAAGGTTTCTAATTTCATTATATTTTCTAACCACTATTAATATGTAAGAACACTATACAATTTTGCTAAATAATATATTTAACCTCTTGAATTCAGATTTCCCAAAAAACCTCGTATCTCCAAATAAATACAATTTTACCTTTTTTTCAAGCATTTATACTCCATTTCTTATTGTATTGGCCAGAGTAGTATTTTTTAAATAATAATTACTCAAACCGTATGATTTTAGGTTAGAAATTGAGAAATGGTTCAAGGGAACAAGACGGAGATCTGGAAATTGCTTAAACTCTTTAAGAATTTAATATTACAAACCCGAAGCCACATTGCACAGCATTGAGAGGATTTACCGCTTAAGACATGTTGGGATAGCTGAGTATCCACCTGGCTATCAGTTCAGAGCAATAAGAATTGCTTCCTACCACATAGCTGCAATCCCGTTCAGATGGGTCACAAAGTTAAATGTTAAAAAAAAAAATGGAATAGCATATTTATTCCAGTTGTGGAAGGAAGATAAACTTCTGACTATTGTGAAATAAAGGATATCATCAGAGATAAATTGCATAGGTATGAATATATAAAAATAAAATAATTTTGCCCAATGAAATGTAAAAAAGGAACAATAACAGGAAAAAAAACTGAT